CAGAAACAATTGCTATTTGCAGAATATTTCAAAGTTGTACCTCTTATGAACTCAAATTTTAATGGAGGGGAGAAGTCCTTAAATATTTATAGCATAGGAAATACTATGAGGAGGTACCCAAGTAAAGGCCACATTAATAAGTAAAGACCACATTAATTACAAAGTATTGGGGCGAGAGGAAAATGAAGATACTGGGAGAATGAGGAGAAAAGCTTTACTAGAGTAGTGGATTTTGAGATAATCGAAGGATTCTGCCAAGAACAAAGAAAGATAACCTGAAGAGAACATTAAATCAAGCAAATACAGAGTACATGCTGACAGTATCTATTTCTTAGAGCATAGGCTACAAGAGGAGGAAAGAAAAGGGAAAAATTGAAAACCTACTTTGGGACCTCACTGTAGAACCCTAAATACTGAGTTCAGTCTTAATTTGTGAGAAATAATGATACAGTGATGGTATTAAAGGAAAACACTAATACAATTTTTTAAAAGTGTAAAGTCTCTTTTGTAAATTTCTGTATTATCTGCTATTTAGACTGGTGCCTAGTTTTGATGATAGGCAAGTGAAGAGAAGGAGGATTCTACTTTCATTCTGTTGCTATGATAAAACTCTGTGACCAAAAGCAACTTGGGCAGGAAAGGATCTATTCAGTTTATACTTCCAGGTCACAATGCATGATAAAGAGAAGTCAAGGTGGGGGAGGCAGGAACCATGGAGGAATATTGCTTGCTGGCTCCCTCTCAGGCTCATGCTTAGCTAGCTTTCTTAAAAAAAAACAACAAAAAACCACACAGGACCACCTACTTATTGATGGTGCTGCCCAGAGTGGGCTGGGCTCTCCTACATCAATTAATAATCAAAACAATCCCCCCCCCACAGACATGCCCAAAAGCCAATCTGATCTAGTCAATTCCATAAGCAAAATTTTCCTCTCAGATGTGCACCAAGTTGACAGGCTTCTAAAATACAAAACAGAGCATTAAAGACAAATTCTCCTAAGAAAATTTAAAATATTCTCAGCTACATGAAAATGTAACTGAAAATTTATGAAATCCAAATCTAAAGTGCTTAGATGAAATCTATACTACTGAATCCATACTTTATATAAGAAGAAAAATCTATTTTTTTTTTCTTTTTTTCTTTTTTGGAGGGTTGAGGATCAAACCCAGGGCCTTGTACTTGTTAGGCAAGCACTCTACCACTGAGCTAAATCCCCAACTGGTACAAACCTGCCTGGACAGGACTTAACATGTAGGAGAGAATGCATATAATGCAGTGGTGGGGGCTACGAAAGCATGGATCGGGGAGGGAGTACAAATTTGATTAAGAACTATTATATGAAATGCACAAAAACTCAATAAAAATATACATTAAAAAATCTAAAATTAATCATCCAAGCATCCAACTGTAGAAAACTAGAAAAAGTGGAGAAAATTAAATTCAATGTAAGCAGGAGAAAAAATAATAAAAACTAGAGCAAAAATTAATGAAATTGAAAATAAGAAATACAGAAAAATAAACAAAACCAAAGGCTGAGTTTTTAAATATGATCAATAAAAATCAATAAACTTTGAGGTAGGCTAAGAGGAGAAAATGAGAGAGGATGCAAATTGTTAGTATCAGAAATAAAGGACCATAAATACAGACCCTATAGCACTACTCCATGCCCATGAAATTGATAAACTCAACGAAAGACAACAGTTCCTTCAAACACTACCTGCCAAAATTCATATAAGAAAGAAACCTGAATGGCCCTATAAAGAAACTTATTAAATCAGTAAATAATAACAAAATAAAACAGAAACCACCAGCATCCCAAATTAAGCCCAAAATGAACACAAACCTAAAGAACAAAATTCACAATGCTATAAAATTTCCAAAAAGGAAGACAAAAAGATGGTAGAAAATCTAGATTATCTCAACTATAGGAATGATTTTCTAGATGTACACTAAAATCAAGAACCATGAAGGAAATAACTGATTATCTGGACTTCAATATAATCAAAAACTTGTGTGAAAGACAACACCAGAGGGGGGAAAAAAAAGAATCCACAGACTAGGAGAAAATATTTACAAAAAGTAAATCTGATTAATAAAGAAAAAGCAGAAAATTTATAAGGAACTTTTAAAATTTAACACCGTATGAAAGATTCAGGAGATAGCTCAGTGGAAAGAGTGCTGGTCACACAAGCATTAAGACTGGAGTTTGGATCCCTGGACATATTCAAAAGCCAGACAGGCTTAGCAGCTGCCTGTAATCCCAACATTCAAGAAGCACAAGCTGGATAGCTAACACTAGCCAGAATTGGGCACGCTCTAGGTTCAGCAAGACACCATCAAGGAAGACACTCGATGTCAACCTTGGGCCTCCCACACATGCACAACATACCTACACACGTGAACATGCATGCATACCACACACACATACACATGCAAAAAAAAAAGGGTAAAACAATCTGAACAGATACCTGACTAATTAAGACGTACATCTGGCTAACAAGCAATGAAAAGAAACTCAGGGGACAAATGAACAAGCCTAAAAATTTGAGTTCAAACCCCAGATCTCATGGTGGAAAGAGAGAACTAACTCTGGAGAGTTGTCTTCTGACTTTGACACACACACATGGTTGCACTTTTCTTACTCTTCCTCTTGCTCTTCTTCCTTTCTCTTTTTCTTTCTCCTTTCTCTGTGTTTCTGTCTCTCTCACACATACAATAAATAAATTTAAGTATATTCACAGTGTCATTAGAGAACTAGATACTAAAGTAACATTATATACCTATATACACTTAATAGAATGGCCCAAATCCAAACACTTCCATAATGTGAGGATATGGACCAGCTAAGCCTATATTCACTACCAGTGGAAAGGCATGTCAAACAGCCAGTTTGTAGGACAGTTGGGCAGCTTCTTACAAAACTAAACACACTTTTAAAGGATTCAGTAATTTTGCTCACAATATTCATATAAGGGAGTTGAAAACTTATGTCAGCATAAAAACTCACAGATGATTACAGAAACCACAATATTGTTATTTATGTTACTGTTATTTATAATACTGTTATTTATCCTCAATTATTGACATATAGCTCCGAAAACCCTGGAATATCTGGAATGATGTGTCTCTTTATGATAATGCTAATGACCCATTAGATAGCTTCAGGATGAAGTCCGGTCACTGGAAAGACAAGATATGATTAAAGGATTGGGAACTTCGGCCTCACCTCCACCCCCCAAAACTACAGAGTAGAGAGGAGTTAAGCAGATCACCAATGACCAGAAACTTAACAACCACAGTGAAGCTGCCACATCTGCCCAGTGGACTCAGGCCAGACAGCTTCCAGACAGCTAACTAGTAGTAGAGGTTCTTGGTGGGTAGCATGCTTATACAGGTAACTGAAACTTTGTGTCTTTTCTCCAAGACCTCTACCTCATTAATTAAGTTAGGGGAAAGAAATCCAGATGATGCTCACTCAAGAAAACTGACAGGTTGGTGTGCGGGGAAATAAACCTCATACAGGTTATATCAGAAGTAATTGTGCTATATTAAGAATGCGAAGAGGCATACATTTTTGATTTGGGTATTCTGTGTGTGTGTGTGTGTGTGTGTGTGTGTGTGTGTGTGTGTGTGTGTTCGGTAAAGTTTTTCGGGGAGGGGTATTAATTACTACAGTACCTTCATTCATAGTTTTTAAAACTTAGAACTCAAAATACATTGTATACATGTAAGAAAATTTCTAAGAATAAATAAAAATATTTTTAAAATAAAAAAAGAAAAACTTAGAAACAACTAAGATGTCCTTCAGGGGGCTGGAGGCATGGCTCAGCAGTTAAGAGCACTAGCTGCTCTTGCAGAGGACCCAGGTTCAGTTCCCAGTACCCACATGGCAGCTAACATAACTCCATAATTCCAGTTCCAGGGGAATCTGAGGCCTTCTTCTGACCTCCGAGGACAAAGGTACACTTACACACATGCAGGTAATACACTCATACACATAAAAACAACTTTTTAAAAATGTTTAAAAGATGTTCTTCAGTAGATAGACAGATAAACGAATGATACACTACAAAGAATGGAAATTATTCAGCACCAAAAGGAAAGGAACTATCAAACCATGAAAAGATGAGGAGGAACCTTAAAAGTGGAGCTGAACAGTATTATGGTATATTCCCAGTTATATGACATTCTAGGAAAGCAGAGCTATAGAGAAATTTAAAAGTTTACTAGTTGTCACAGGTTAATGAGGAAGGTGAGTTGAGAAAAATTATTATGAAA